GGGGGAGGGAGAGAAGAGACTTCAAGCAAGTGGGCATTTTAACAGGGAGATAATGCATCCTCTGTACTTGAGCTCCAGATCTGCAAATTTGAAATTGTAATCTTGGGGCCTTGGGATTTTCAGGGTGCAGCTCTGCAGCACCTCACCTCCTCATGGTTCTTCTTCAGGTAGGCCAGCTCCTCCTGCAGGCCCTCGATCTGCATCTCCATGTCGGCCCTCGCCAGGGTCAGCTCGTCCAGCACCCTGCGCAGCCCGCTGATGTCGGCCTCCACGCTCAGGCGCAGGGCCAGCTCATTCTCGTACCTGAAAGCCAAGTGCGGACAGTTTCCGGAACCCTCACGGCCAGCCAGGCAGCGCCCCTGTTCGGGGCTTAAATCTTTGCAGGGTTACTGCGGCATGAGATGGAGCTTTTGCTTTTGTGAATTTTTCTTTTCCTTTTTTAAGTAGCATAATTTTCTGCTCAGTTGGAGAGGAGTAGCAGAGGTTGGAAAGGTTGTGGTACTTTTCTGCCAGCAGTGAGCCCAAAGCACAGCACCCCAGGGCTGCTGTGATTATAAGAACGACAGCCCTCTCTCTCTCTGCAGGTGAGGTTCCGAGTAGCACCCTAAAAGCAGTCAAAATCATAGCTACTTTTCTTAGTTTTCTTCAGGATTCAATTTACTTCTTTAAAGCACTTCTTTAGTAGATTTTACCAAGATTTCACCGGTGCGGGGCTATTGCCAGCGCTGCTCCCTGTGTGGAAATTTTGCCCCACAGAAGAGGGAAAAGGAACGTAGGAAAGGAAATTAGCTTTTATTCTCATGTCTGGGAGGGCGGGGGGTAAGAAAGGAGGTGGGAGCACAAAAAGGAACGAACAGTTAATCTTTCAGTTGTAAGAAAATGATTGCTTCACTGAACTCCTTGGCAAAAACATTACTAATTCATCTCAAGACGTTGGAAATTCGGGTTCAGGACACCGCGGAGTCATCAGCACGGTGACTGGGAGCCCTAGAAATGACACACTAGAGAAACTTATAATTTAAGGGGGCGGAATTCACGCTGTCCTGGCTTCGAGTTACTTTCTAGAATGACCTATGTGAATTTAGCAAAACACAAATAGCACGGAGAACGTGACTTTAGGAGATTTGAGGTGCTCACTGTCTGGACACGCGGCTGGGGGACACACCGGTCCCCGTCAGCCTGTGCTACTCACTTCATCCGGAAGTCCTCAGCGGCCAGCCTGGCATTGTCGATCTGCAGGATGAGCTGGGCGTTTCCGATGCTGGCAGCAATGATCTGGCAAGGGAGAGCGAGGCCCACAACTGGAGCCCTAAAACACTGGCGGTTCGCAAGTGTTTTGGACGGTAAGGTCAAATGTGGGGGTTAAGTGCTGCTTTCTTAAGAGTTTAAGGCAGCTGCATTTAAAAAATAAAATATGTTTACCAGATACTATTGTAGATTAAGAGGCACACGTTTCCTACCGGAAGGCAGTGGACATACAGTCCCTTGATGGTCAGTGCCAAATAGAACTAAACTTCCTGAGTTGAGAAGACCTGTTCTTACCTTGTTCCTGAGGTCTTCGATCAGTGGGTAGTATTTACTGTAGTCACTCCGGGACGCAGGGTCCCCGGTCGCCCGTCTTTCGTACCAGTCTCGGATTTTCTGTTCCAGCTCGGTGTTCGCGTCCTCCAGAGCATGAACCTTGTCCAGGTAGCATGCTAGTCTGTCATTCAGATTTTGCATGGTGGCTTTTTCTGACCCAGAAACCAGGCCCCCGTCACTGCTGCAGAGGATACCTGCAGAGCCACCTCCTGGGCCACCCCCGAACGCCATTCCCAGCCCTCCGAAGCAGCTTCCCAAGAGTCCCCCGTGACCAGTGCCCAGGCCCCCTGCCAGCGAGCACCCAGAGCCACCACCGAAGCCGGAGCTGGAACCAAACATGGAAGCAGCAGAAACGCCCCCAGCACAACCAGCTCCAAGGCCAAAGCCGCTACCCCCAAGGCCACCCGCGAGGCTGGAAGCGGACAGGCCCTGGGCTCGGCCCGCCATCCCACTCTGGGCAGACAGGCGCCGGGACAGCGCCGAGCCAGACACCGAGAGTGCCATGGTGTCCCTGGGGCGGGGAGGCCGTCCGGTGAGCTGGGGGGCTGACCTTTTATAGGCTGGGGGACGGGTGTCGCCCTTGGAAAGTTCACCTTTCACTAGAAGTTGGGTGTCTCCCCCGCCCCTCTGGGGTCATCTCAGCAAGTCAGTGATTTATGTGGAACGAAAATTCATTGATTTAGAAATAATTGAACAGTCACTTCCATGAGATGCCTGTTTCACAAAAGAGAAGCTGGGTGGAGCGGGTTCAGCTTGTCACGAGGGATCTTTCTTCAAGGAGGGTTTCCACCACCTGTGTGCTTTGTGCTGGCGGGGGTCATGCGCAGTAACAAGGCAGGGGGTGATGGCAGGCAGGATCAGGGAGTCTTCCTCAGGCTCTAGCTTCGTACATTCCTCCTCCGCCTTTCTGTCTGTTTCCTGTGGGAACTGGGGTAAACCATCAAGCACCTCCCAGGGCAGCTTTCGGGCGAAATGCCGTTTCAGGGGGGTGGTGCAGCGCACTAGTAGAATGTGGGGGATAAACGCGTTTCCCAGGCGGACACTAGCATTTGAATTTTCCAGATTTAAAAACTTTTCATGAGTTCTCCTTTCTGATTCCCAAAGGAAGTTCTGGCAAGTGCTGTTTTTGAGGAGAATACAGCAGCTGTTGAAGCAATTTTTCCTTCATGTAAGATCTGACCTCTGTAGTAAACTCTGTGAAATCAGGGTCTTTTCTGATGGTTCACTGACTTAATCCAGCACTCATATTCAGCCCTTCAGAAGCTGTCCTTTGTAATAGTTGCTCAATAAATGTATTGATTGGGTGACGGGGATTGTGGAAAAGCTTCTGGTTTTATTGCCGTTACCAATCAGGAGAAACAAGAACCGTGCCGGGGGGAGTTACGAAACAGTGGAGGCCCCCAGCTCAGGAAGCCCTGAACCATTTCAGCCTATGGCTGTGACGAAAAGCGGTACATGCACAAGCTGAACAATGACAGGTCGTCTCTTAAAGCTTTTGCGAAAGTTTTGCAAAGCGCGCTCCAAAGAGTTGTATCCAGTGTCTTTATTACTTAGAACTGAAGTTCTTCTCATATTTTCTGCTTTGACATGGTGTTTATCTTTAAGGTCGACATGGCTTGTGTATGTGGCATCAAAAGAACGTTCTGGTGGGAACTGCACTGACTTGAAAGAAGCCTGCTTTCAGGGAGACCTGGAAACGGACTGCAGGTACCTGGAAACGGACTAGTGCAATCCCAGGAGAGTGGGATTTCCTTAGAAATTTCAGTTGTGAGCATTTTGACTGCACAAGAAAGACTAAGGAATTTTCTTTTACATGTTTTCTTTGGGCTGGTGATCCAAGTCTCTACATTTTTTTCAGTGTAAAATAATTTATTCTTGATTTTTAAAAACATAGCAATATATAGCTCTCTGTCTCTCTTGCCAAAAATGTTTACACACTTCAGCAGTTCACCGTACTAATAAGTGTCTGGAAGCTAATGGCCATCACCGTGAGCACCTCTTGCAATTATAGAAGTCAAAGGTAACTTGTATTAATCTCATGAAGTCTCAATAAATTTAGTATTAAAATATTTATACAAGTTTTTCTTTTCCTGATGTATACTTTTTTGGCAGACTCTCTCTCTCTCTCTCTCTCTATATATATATGGAACATATGAATATATACAGAATATGTGAATATATGGAATATGAAAATTTGGATGACACAGGAAATATAAAGAAAATGAAGTATATATGAATATATTGTATACATTTTTGAACATAGTTTATGCACTGTAAGATTTTATGATCTTTCTTAAGATTTTATAGTTAGCTATCATTTGAACTTTAATAATTAGGTATAGAGAATATAGATTCTTGGAAATTCTTTATTGGATTCAGATTTCAGAATTCAATTTGCTCTGTATTGGATAAGAAGTAAAATTTCTGTGTATAAATGGCAGGGTTTTTTTTGCAAGGACATTCACACTAAATTTCATTAGCAAGGCATACACTGTGTGTGTTAAGCACACGTATGTTTTGACTAGAGTGGATTTATTGAGATGAAATACATTAATTATTATAAAAATATTGAGATTTTCAGTTTTCCAAAAGGCACCTGCGTTTTGTCATAAGTGGTCACTAAAACTCCTTGATTTGGTATGTTTGGACTCTGTGTTTTGTTCTGAGGGAAGCTTTTCAGAAATATCATGAGTAGTCGAGATTTTTAAAATTCTTGTTTGATCTAATAATTCATCCCTTTCATGATGAAAATGACTTTCAGAAGGTTTCCCATACATCTTGAAGGGGAGATTACACCCGCGTGGTAAAGACACATTTTTTTCAGTATTATGGGGTACCTCTGAGTCCATCGAGGGCTTATTTAGCACAAACATTAATCATGATATTTAGCAAATATTTGGCCGTTGCTTAAGATCTTGCCATAAGTGTGTGCAGCACTTTATTTTTCTTTCCTAAAGCAATAGTCTGGTGTCTTTTGGACATTTTCTTTGATGGCAGAGACAACGCAGGGGCAAGCTTATAGCTGTTACACAACTTGAATGATGTTGAGGTGATTTGGCCTTCCTGCAAATGAAATGAAGTATTTCAGTCAAGCCAACACAAAAGCATTCAGGGCTTGGGTCTATGTTTGGCTCCGCCACCCGCACCCAGCTCATTGTCTCACACAAGGTTGGCGCTCGGCACCTGCTTGTTGACTTGATTTCTCTCTTGACGAACCAGGGTCATGACTGTGTGTTACACATGCGGAAATTTCCCCAACATTAAACGAGATAATTTAACATTAAAGCCAAGCTACACGATCTAGTAACTTGAAGAGTAATGGATTCCAACGTACCATGAAGTGTGACAAAAATATATGGTGAATGTTTTAGTTAAAAAAATTCATTACAGTAAATGACACATTGCCATGAATCTGCCTCAAAATCCGCCCCCCTCCCCCCCGTGCTACAAACACACTTATCCCATCATTCTTGCCACTTTCTGAAGCAGTTCTGGAGTCCTCTCTCGTGACTGTGTTTATGAGGTGTGATCAAAAACACAGTGAGTGGTGTTGCCGAGTACCGTCCAAAGGAAAGGCAGCTCGTAAAAACGGGACGCTGTGTCCTCGTCCACGTTATTCACCGCGTCTGGTGCCCTGTGAATCCTGGTTCTTAAAGTCAAAACGACCATGTACGGGAAAGGTTCTCAATCAACTCACGACATGGAGGCAGCCATGACAGTACAACTAAAGACACTCAGGAAAAAAGACTCCAGACCAGCTTCAGACACACGCCCTCACACGTACACACACACAAACACACACACCCAGAGACGTGCCCCCAGATGTCCTTGCCCGGTGCCAGTGTGCAGGTGCCCCAGGCAGAGGGCGGTCCACAACCCTGACTGCTCCCGAGAGTACTTCACACTGGCCTTTGTCCTGTCAGTTGGTGTCACAGCAGTCCTTGTTTGCGTTGCCATCTAGAATGAGACCGCAGCCTGCATTCCTCCCAGTTCAGGGCCCTTCCTTCCCACGCTTATATCTGCCTTGCGTCTGCCTCCCTGAAGCAGGCATCTTCACTCACGAATAATCCCCAGCCACCGTGCCTACTGCTAGTTCTCTGCAGACGTGGGAAGGACGGGGCTACCTTGGCTTGACGAGAGGGTCTGTCATCCACTGTTCCATTTCTTGAGAAAGCAGAGACACATTAAGGGGCACAGGATGAGCTTAACCATGGGATGAGTGTGTGGAGAGTGGTCCTTGTTCACCTGTCAGGTCTACAGTTCTCTGCTCTACCAGCTGAGCTGTCGAAGGGTGCACCCTTGCTTGACTGATACCTGTTATTATGGACTCACTACTTTCCAGATCCTGGGCCAAGCGCACTACAAACGTTTTGAACCTTCACAGAAAGTTCTGGAGGTGCCAGGAGGTGGCAGAGGGAGGATTTGGATCTGCAGGGCTTTCTATTCACGACACATCCCTGCTGCCCTCAGTGAACGTATAAACGACATGTGGCAGCTCCTACCTCCCTGGCTGTGATGCTGGCCTTCTGCCCTGCGCAAGCGCCGGGAGCCTGGGTTGTTAATTTTTACTCCTTCCCAAGAAGTCTTCCCCGAGACACAGCAATTCCACTTGACTGCTGTAGAGACAAGGACAGAGGACGTTTCTTGCTGACAGAGTCCAGAGGACGGGCCAGATTCAAAGCTATAACCTAGTGGTGCGGTCACACAGTAGGGGGATATGGTTTGCTTGTACTGTTGACCTGGGAATCAAGTTTGTCCTGAAATCTATACTTCCCAACTCCTAACACTCATATATTTTGAATATTTTTGCTCCATATCAATACATTACATTTGCGTTTATGTATCTCTGTCTGTATTACCCACCTAGACTGTAGGCTTCTCAGGTATAGACTCTAGTTTATTTTTTATCTTGAGTAGTAGCCTGGGGTTTGCCTAAATTTTTTCATTGTACTTCTGGAATTGCTCTGCTTGAAATAACTTCATTCTTAATGTGTTTAAGTGTGTCACTTACAATATGTTTGACTCAAAATGACTATGACCTGATTTATTGGTATGCTTGGAGCATGATTTATTCTGAATTCAGGTCCGAGTGGGGGGCAACTCCAGAAGCTGAAAAAAGTATTTCTTCTTTGATAGCTTCTTTGGGAAGAGGGAGTCCAAGTTAATCAGCCCTTGTGGAGGTGGCTGGGTAGGGAGCTCAGTTGTGGAGTATGGGGTTTATAATCACGCCTCTGTTTGGGGGTTTTTAGAAGTGAACATAATTGTCTTTGACAGCCATATAGCTGGAGGGGCAGGCGAGGATGCTTAAAGCAAAAACAACCCTGGGCTTGTTGGCGAGGTGATTACATAAACAAAGCACAGAGGGAAATGCCTAGAGCTTACCCGAAGTGTTACAAAGAATTACACCTTCTTGGGGTGAGGTGCAGTGCGGCAGCAGAGAACTTGCCCAGCATGTGTGAGACCTTGAATTTGATCTTGCTCCTGTAAAAAAAAAAAAAAAAGAAAAGAAAAAGAAAAAGAAGAACTACAACTTCCTGTTTTGCAGAGTTTAGGGATATTTGACATGGAGAAAATTATGGATGTGGTATTTGTAACGCTTTAGATTTTTATTAAGTGAA